ATGTCACAGTTGAAATTTGATTTGTTTTATTTATTGTCACTTGAAGTTTGTTATAAAATACAGTGAAATGTTGTATCGTGTCACTGCTCTCTAGCACCATCTTAAAACCCAGAAAAATAAACCAAAACAGAGAATATAAAGACAGAAAAATAAAGAAAAAGTGTTCAATTTTACAGTCCTTTTTAGCACTCCGCTATGGGCCATGAACCTGGAACAGTATGCTCCCAGAGGTTGTGGAACCTGCCCGACGATTATTTGAGCTCTGGATATTGAGCGGAATTGTTATTTTTTGGGGTGAGGCTATTAAAGGTTATGGAACAAAGGTTTGTAAAATGGATGTGAGTTGTAAAACAGCCAGGCTTGAGAGTCTGAATGATGTCCTCCTGTCTCTCTGAGTCTGTCCCTGTAGTCCATTCTGTGCTCCCACTAATAACTGGTAGTTTTTAAATGTCAGGATGAATATATTCAAAATGGATGCAGTGATGATGCTTTTACAGTCAAATATTTTGTATTGCATTGTGTTTGAGCTGAGGTATGAGGAGTAATCACACATAATGTCCTGGAAAGCTATCCAGACCGAATGCTGTCTCTGTGCAGAGTGTCACTGAGTGTGTTGTTGATTTTTCATGGGGCTGTGGGCAATGCACTCTGTCCGTGATCAGACATTCCTTTCTGGTTAGTGTAATTTCAAGTGAACAAGCAACAAATCGCTGCTTACAATAATCAGACTCTGTGTTAACTTAAGCCCTTGTCTAGGCTGTTAAATCTTCACCGTGTCCATTTCAAATTAATTTTTTCCACTGAAATCAACCAAAAGTGCAGGAAATGGCCAGGCGTAATTTTTAAGTGTTGTCTGCTCTCCTGGTCCAAACCTTAACCCATTGTATTCTGCTAGAATACACTGAGTGTGAAAGTGGTGCCAAGAAGGATGGCGAAGAGTCTTTCCCAATAACTGTCCTTCAGAAGGCAGCTGGGCAGTCAGTGTTGATGGTTGTTTGGCTCACAGGGCTCAACGAATGAAGTTCACCCTGGCATTGGTCAGTCAGGAGGTCCTCATCACAGTCACCCATCTTTGGGTGGCTGTAGAATCAGCTGACTCAATGAGCTGAATTGCCTCCTCTTTCACTATTTTGTGGGGATCATTCTCCTCTTTATCTCATAGACTGTGAAATGAAATCACCAAAGTGGAAATGGCCTGAAAATCAAACCTGAAACCTTCTGGTTGCTAATTCAGCGCTCTCTCAGCAAAGGGAGTAATTTAAATTGTGTACAGTCGCAGCCGACAGCTGGCCAACTCTAATTCTACAAATCATCTGAATCTCTGTAACTAATTGTTCTCATGTGTGAGGGAGGTGCACTGTGTGTGAACAGACTGCTTCTCACTGCCATCTTGTTCACTGCTGTCATGTACCAGGGTCTTGCTGATGTAACAGCTTCTACACCCTGCACACACAATCCGTAGGGAGGGTGTCAACTGAGGGGCAGAGACTGTGGATATCTCCGAAAAACTAAAACACAATTATTAATAAAGTCCAGTGGTGTGTTTGCACGGAGCATCCACAAACCCTTCCCAATAGACCTCACTCTTTTAGGAATATGACGTATTGGATGATGGTAATGTGGGGGCAAGGGTCCATTGACATTGTTTTACAATGTGCATGTGCTCTCAGTGAGTCAGTAACCACCCCCATACCACAACGGATCCATGAAATCTCTGGGTGCCTGGTGGTGAGACTTCATCTGCTTTGGGTCTAGTTAAGTGGTTGAGTTACTCTTGTTTCTATTTCCTCCCAGCCTTTTTCTCCATTTCTCCCTGCTTTTACTGTTGTTCTTTTCTATTCCACAGGAAATGACTGCCCCCATGGATTTGAAAAAACTGCTGACGGGCAGTGTCAAGGTAAATAAGACTAAACACCTTAAATTCCCAGCCCCATGCCCCCCGCTTCATCCCACCAATAACACCAACCACCTCCCCGAAAAGAAAAAATACTGGCTGTGAATATGATCCTGGTACAAGCACACAATCAGGAAGGACCCAGCCTCTGCTGCCGATAGTTTGGGGTTTACAGTTACCCTTTGGGTTTAGACCTGTTTCCTCAGTGAGCCTCTGGCACAGTGTGTGTGAGAAACTCCACACTGATGTTCCTGATGTTTGAATCATCTGTGAACACTGACTCACGATCAGGGTTCAGACATGAAGAATAACTGCGAGGAATCCACATTCCCAGAGATGCTATTGCTGTACCCATCACAGCTGCCGGGGCCCCTCCACGCCAGTGCTGGGAGTTTCGCTGAATTGACTGAATATGGAAAAGAAGAAATGAAAAGATGATTTCTGTGTGAGCACATTAACCGTTCATTTTGCACAGAAGGTTATGAGGGTAAAAGGTGCGGAACCTCTTTAAACAAGGGATTAGTGCAAATTGGATTCCACACCATACTCCCCTCCTTGAGAGAGACTGGGGACTTGAATAAGCTGAAAGCTGCTTTAGTAATTAGGCTGTATTCTAAAGGCATGATCGGACTGGGAGCAGCGATTGACGCTTTGGTATTTGGAAAATCTCATTCTCCACTTCCTCCGCTGGCAACTTCATTGAGAGGAGGTGCACAGCCTGAACCCTGTCTACGTTTGATGCATTAAGCTGCCTATCCCTTCAGAGCATTCTGCACATTCCTTCCAACTAATCTTAACACCAGTCCCAACAACTCACATTCCAACCTTGATACACTATATCTTTTCAAACTGTTTGGTACCAAGGTAATGTATCAGCTCATGCCTGGTCTTAAACAGGTAATGTCCTTTGGTTCTTACAAAATATTTTTTTATGAACAAATGTTTGCTGGCACATCATTGACCATTCCTGTGTGATATCCGTGAAGGTCAGTATGCTGCTAGTACCTCCCCATGCCATAATTATCGAGACAATAATCAGCATCACTTCGCAGTCATATACCTTCCTGAGGTGCACACAAATCACTGCTCCCAGGGGACCCCACCAAACACCATCTCCAGTTCAAAATACTCCACGGTTCTCTAGAGGGTGCCCAGGATGGTAATAAATATTTTCCAAAAACATACATTATTTTAAAAATATTTAAAGGTACATTCGAAACCATTTCCAATTGGACATTCTAGAAGGTGCAATGATATTCAGGTTTTTTCGATAAATTCCTTACACTCTTGAGGTGTCTCGATACAGATAGAATCTGGGTGACATTCAACATCTACATTGAATAACCAGCATTGGGACCAAGGGATTTCATAAATCACCAGCCCCTCAGAATGCTGCTTGAAAGGCCTTTGTGTCCACATGGCAATAAACATGTGTAACACTGCAGCTGGGGTAAAATAGCATTGCCCACCACCACAGAGCATCTGTGCGAGCACAGTTACTGTGAAGGAGGCTCCTCTCTATATTCACTGAGAGGTGAGTATAGTGGGTATGAGGTATCAAATCAATAGATGGATAAAACAGATGCCCCTCACTTACGATTGGCCTTTCCCGAGGAATGATTTAACTTCTTATAAAAATAATTGAGGCATGAAAATTTACTGCAGAGCAATCACCTGGAATGCTCGACCGTCAGCTCTGTAGTACTCATAAAACATAAAACATTTTGACCTAGTGCTGCTCCCTCCCCACCCATTGCAGAATGTAACTTTACGAGTAGTTGACTCTTTCATTCTGCTTCTTTCAGATATCGACGAGTGCTCCCTGCCAGGAATCTGTCAAAATGGAAAGTGTCTGAATGTGAGAGGCAGTTACAGCTGTGTGTGTAGCCGAGGGTTTGTGCAGGATACCTCTAAGAGCCGCTGCATCTGTAAGTGATCAGACTTTACAGAAAACTACCAGCCCATTCTCTCCCAGGCAACAGCACCACTCTCAACTTCCAAAATTACGGCAAATTTCATCAAGAGGACTACGGAATTGGGAGTAGGAAATTTACTCTGTTTTGTCAATCGTAGCCAACAGACAGAATAGTCAAAAGCTGTTTCTACTGCCCTCACACTTCCCAAACACCTGCATTAATCCCCGACCTAATCCCATTGGCCTGCTCTCTACCCAAAGCCCTGTACTAATTCCCAACCTAAACCCACTGCCCCACATTCTCCCCACAGCTCTGTATCCATAGCATTGTACTAATCTGCAATCTAATCCCATTGACCTGCTCCCAACACATAGCCCTGTACTAATCTGTAAACTAATATCACTGCCCTACTCACTCCCCACAGGCCTGTATCAATCTGCAAAATAATCCCACCGTCCTACTCCCACTCCATAGCCCTGTGTCAATCCCCAACCTAATCCCACTGCCCTGCTCCCTCCCCATAGCCCTGTACAATCTTCAAATTAATCCTATTGTCCCACGCTCTCCCCATAGCACTGTATCAATCCCCAAACTAATTCCATTACCCTCTCCCTCCCCATAGCCTTGTACTTATCCCAACCTAACCTCACTGCCCCAGTCGCTCCCCATAGCCATTTATAAATCTGCAAACTAATCCCACTTCCCTGCTGCCATCTCCAAATCTAATCCCACTGCCCCGTCCCCTCCTCATAACCCTTTACTAAACCTCAACCTAATCCCAGTGCCCTGCTCCCTTTAAATAGCCCTGTAGTAAT